TTTATGAGACATTCCAACTAGATTCAATCTTCAGGTATCTTTTGATAGATGAAGGTTGACACTGCCAAAAAGATGCTCCTCCCCCCACATTGGTGACATGCGGTCGTGATATGAAATCACTTACTTCGATGGATTGTACACATTGAAAAGTTGTCTTGATATTTGTGCCTCGTTACTTCTCTGTCTCCTTTACACACAACGGGATCTTCCACACACTCGACTGCTCAGAGCAACACGGAAGAGACCACACACATCACCATATGCTTAATACGGCTCTCACTACAAACACTCAAATCTCGGTGAACTTAAAATAGCTCTTACCAAAAGTGCTCTTTGTGTAAATGTAATTCTTTTTGTGTAAATGCAATTTTATAACTCCCTCTGTGCAAATTTAATTTTGTTATTACCTCTGTGTAAATGTAATTTTGTGTAAATGTTAATAATTCAATTCATATAATAATTCAATTTTAATTGTAATTCATTTTGTGTGAATGTAACTTTGCTACTCATTTTGTGTGAATACAAATTTGTAATTAATTTTTTGTGAATGTAATTTTGTAATGCCTTTTGTATGAATGTTAATAAATCAATTCATACAATAATTCAATTTTTATAGTAGTAATTCATTTTGAGTGAATGTTAATAAATCAATTCATGTAATAATTTAATTTTAATTGTAATTCATTTTGTGTGAACGTAATTTTGTGACTTAGTTTGAGAATGCAATTTTATAATTAATTTGTAAAATTTGAAATCTTCAATAGAAGAGACAGTTTCAGCATGCAAAAACGAAACTTAAAAGAGAAAGGAGAGAAAACCCAAGTTCTAGTGTAGAGCTTATTGTTTCAGCAAATTATGGCTGTTTGAATTGGCAGCTAAGTGGGCTGCCAATTGGTGAAAATCATTAAAACCAGAAGGAGAAACAGAAAGAGTAGTTGGCAATTTCATCAACAATGAAACCCGGTGAATATGCTAATGATAGATGCCTTGCTCTGTTACAGGCAATGTTTTACAGGCAGAGAAAAGAGATCAACAGTCTTGTTAAGTTCCAGGCCTCTACTTTTCACGGAGAAAGGCTTCTTTCTGCATTTTAAGTTGTTAACTGGGGTTAATATACCAGAGCTCTTGAAAAAGGCTTCAGAAACAAAAATTCCAAGAATCATTAATTTTTTAAAATCTTTGACTAAGAAAAGAAAACAGTATCCAAGACGTATTGGAGAAATTTGAAAATGATGATGAAACTTGTGATGAATTGTTCTTAGACACATCTCTGCTTCCGGAGTGCTAAAAAATGGAAGCAATTTTCATTTCAGTTGACGTAAGTATTTATCATTTGCTTTGCAATAAACTTTTTTTGTATATATTAGGAAAATGCTTGTAATTTCAGATATTTTCCTGTAGTTAACCACAAAAAAATAAAATATTTACAGTTATTGACGTACCTTTTTTTTACTTCCAAAGACAAAGCAATGCAAAAAAGAACAGTAAAGCTAAAAATGTACACAGAAAAAACAATAAATTTTCGAACACAAAGGATGACAGAAGTCAATGCCTCATTAAAAGTTCTCCGCAATACAATGTCTCCTCAGAAACGCTATGAAGTGATGAGCAACTACGGAGTTGAGCTCGATTCATTGGCTTTAATGAATGAAGCAAATACAAATTATAAAGATAACAGTTTGTATGTTCTCCTAGACAGTCATTACCACCATAAGGCAGAATTTAGCAACAGCTTCACAACATGGAGAGTTGGGAATGGGCAAGAAATCGTCAATTCTCCACTGCTTTGACTGCAGACTGTCAAGTAACTTCAAATTTTTGTGACATAATTTTATTTTATAACCGTCGTTGAACAGTCGACTCAATTTTTGGGTTTAAGACTACCGATGTTTTCGGGGTAATAGTGTATCCTGCCAGAGGAAATAATTATAGGCTTAATAGGGGACCCATAATGTTGCCCCATAGGCTACTAATTATGTATATATACACTCATGTCCATAAATTAAGGATAATGAAGTTCAGGCACAGAAAGAGACAGAAGCCAAACAAATTTGACTTATTTGTAAAGTCTATGTATTAAACAAAAGGAAAAGAGCAAAAAAGATGCTATATGTTTGACATAATTAATAAAAATTGCGATTTTTACACCCTGGTGCAAATTTCAAAAAAGAACCTATTTACAAAAAACAGTATAACATGGTTAGTATGATGGTTAATACGGAGTATGTCTCCCGGACGATGCAATACAGGCCGTACAACGCCTAGGCATGCTGAGTATCAAATTATCAATCTGATCTTGGGGAATATTCCACCACTCATCAAGCAATGCCCTCCGAAAGTCCGGTAGATAGGGAGGGGGTTGACGGGCTGCAATTCGTCGGCCAAGCATATCCCACACATGCTCTATTGGATTTAAGTTCGGTGAGTATGCTGGCCAATCCATACTGGTGATATCTTCCAATTCAAGGCATTCTTCTACAATGTTTGCACGGTGAGGACGGACGTTGTGGTCCATAAACAGAAATTCAGCACCCATGGTGCCCCGAAACAAACGTACATGTTGTTCCAGAATGACATCTCTATAGATGTGGCCTGTCATCGTTACTCTCTGAACATGCAGGTCAGTTCTGGAACTAGGAATAATTCCTCCCCAAACGAGCCATCCTGCACCACCGTAACGGTGTCGTTCAATGGTGTTGTCTTGGTGGCAACGGGTACCTGGCGCTCTCCATATGAAAGTCCGGCGAGAGAATCAGACTGCAAACTAAACCTGAACTCGTCGGAAAACATAACACAAGACCACTGTTGCGGATTTCATAATGCATGCTCTTTACTAAAGGCTAATCGCAGGTGACAGTGAGTTGCGGTAAGTGGAACACATCTGACAGGCCTACGAACATACAGACCAATGTGCCCTAAGTGTTTGTACACGGTCTGCCTTGAAACTGTCGTGCCGGTAGCTGAAGAGACAGGTCAGATGCTGTGCTCCGCCTGTTTCTTTTGGCAGTAACTGCCAAATACCGGTCTTCATTCGGCGACGACCTGTGCTGTAGCGTCTACTCACATTACCATCATCTTGGAATCGTTGCCAAAGTTTGGAGATGACACTCTGGGTGATTCCAAGTTCCTCGGATACTTCCAGCTGGGTACGTCCACATTCCAGTCGTCCGATGATTCTGCCACGTAAAAAATCATCAAAATCCTTCCTTTGTGCCATAACTATGCGGTTATTGCACTGAAAGGCTTTAAAAGCGCTTGTGAGCAATTTTACTTCTTTGCCACCATTCCTTATATACCCCTCTCTCAAACTCTCGTCATTGTAACGTACTACCAGCGTCATCTAGTGGTTTCCTGTAATTTGCATATTCTTCGTCAGTATGTGTGTGATAATACTACAGGTGAAATTTTAATTTTAGAGTTTGATTTCCGTGTGATTCTGAATTATCCTTAATTTATGGACATGAGTGTATAATAGTGTGCTGAATAGCTTTAAAATGAGGAAATTCGAAGTCAATATTCAATATTAATACATGTCCCAATATCTTACCTTAATATTGACCCATAACATTTATATATTGGACCACGCATTTCATTACCGGGTAATAGTGAACCCTAGCAGAGGAAATAATTATAGGTTGAATAGGGGGTCCATAATGTTGCCCTATAGGCTACTATGTATGTACATATATAATATTGTGTTGAATAGCTTTAAAATGCGGAAATTCAAAGTCAATATTCAATATTAACATATGTCCCAATATCTTACCTTAATATTGACCCATAATAATTAGATTGGACCACCTATTATATTTCGGGGTAATAGAGTATCCTGCCAGAGGAAATAATTATAGGCTTAATAGGGGGCCCATAATGTTGCACTATAGGCTACTATGTAGTTGTTGTTAATTTACGTCGCACTAGAGCTGCACAATGGGCTATTGGCGACGGTCTGGGAAACATCCCGGAGGATGATCCGAAGACATGCCACCACAATTTTGATCCTCTGCGGAGGGGATGGCACCCCCGCTTCGGTAGCCCGACGACCTGCACGCGAAGTCGAGCACTTTACGGTAGCACAGTTTAACGAGGACCAATACCGCACACCCTCGGTCCCTACGCAGACTGATTCAAGTGGTCACCCACCCTTACACTGACCGCAGCGAGTGATGCTTGACTTCGGTGATCTGCTGGGAACCGTGTCTTATCGATCAGTCCACTGCGGGACGCTACTATGTATAATAGTGTGTTGAATAGCTTTAAAATGCGGAAATTCGAAGTCGATATTCAATATACCTATTTCTGCCACAACCGGTCATTTGACCGGGAGAACAATTTATTGCTTTATAAGGTTTTCGGTTCAGAAATGTGCTCAACGTATTGCATTCGATTAGTTGCACATTCCTGCAAAGACTGTTGCATAGTGAGTTCAATCAGAATAACTATGAATTCAAATTTCAAAAAAGTACCTAAAACTTTAGATTGGCATTTTTGTATCAGAAAAAGTGACAAAAACTTAATGTTTTTGTAAGTAGCTTGTATTGCATTTTGACAGTTTTACTTCATTTCTAAATAACTGTTAGTTTTTACCCAGAAAAATGTCGAAACAATCGAGACAGCACAAGTTCTTAGAAGAAATAATATTAATTATAAGAATTATTATTTTTTATAATTATAAGAATTATAGAAATAATAATAATTAGAAGAAATATGTTTGCGGAAAATGCCCAATGGAAACACCCTGTATATGTAAAAAAAGTGTTAAGTAATGAATTAATAATTCTTATTCCTTGTGTGTTGTAATGCATAAAAATTAGCAATATACAATTTTGTTTAATTATAACAAAGTTTTTATTCAGTTTAATTCCTTCGTAACATCCATATTTCATACATTCAATCAAGAAACCGGTAATTTGACCGACTATGGTAGAAATAGGTGTAGATTAAGTGTTGGTATGTATAGTGTTAAAAGATTTAGTAGAAATTTATATTAAAACTTAAACTAGCTGAAAAAAAATTTGCTTTATTAAAATGATTACAATACAGATAGTGAAGAATGCAAAGATTCAAAATACATGAAATTTATTCATATGAAAGTCCAAGCATGTCGATTCGAAAGAGATGAGGGGGGTCACCTCTTCTTAAAACCATATTTTTTTCTTTCATAAAACAGATCAGTCTTGGAACTACCCAAGTTCACAATTTTTGGACATCCATCACGCTGTAAAAAAGAAGAAAAAATTACTTCTTACAAAATAAATAAATTAAAGATGTAGACAATTCATTAAACATAAACTTAAACATTTATGATAATTTAAGTAGGAGGACTCACTAATTAAGATAAAAAATTAAAAAAAATTTCAAATGCAACTTATCATTTTTATATATAATTGAATTAAACTTATTCAGGGTGCATAGCCAATTTTTCAACAAAAAATAAGCGCTTTTTAAGCACTCAAAAGTATTTTTAAGCACTTTTTAATAAAAATATAACTAGGCAGTGTTGGCAAATTTTAGACAATTGACGGTTTCATCCGGATTAAACTGTCACGTCAACAAAAAATCTTTTGGTATAGTTTTTGACAATTGCCAAAAATCATAAAATTTTGAATAATAAAACAAATAAAGTTTTCATACGCTAAGGGCCCACGGTATGCCGAAAAAAATTGGGGTTGAATTAATCGTAAAAACGATCCTTAATGTAAAATTAATCGTTAATAATTTAACAACATAATTCTATATTTATCATTTTTTGGCATTAGTAATATCCTAAAAAACCACTTGATATTTATTTTTAAAAAATTTTCAACCATTACATAAAGATTTTTATGCTGAAATGGATAAATATTCATACAGTTTATAATTGAGGTTATTAGTTATTTAGTTTAATTTATGCACAATGCAAGTTTTTTTAATTACAATTATTTTATATTAACATTGTGTAATAATTTTTAAAGGCATTCTTTATTTTTTGTAATTTTAGAATCGTTTTTTAAGTTATTTTTGTTTTATAGCATTAAACAACTTTCAATTTGACTGGAACTTTAAAATTTTATTCAGAAGCATAAATTTTTAGGTAAAATGTGATAAAATACTTCAATTTATTATTCTTATAATATTTAACCTATTTCCTATGGAATATTCTTCTTACATTACTGACTAATTTGAAATGTAATGTACCAACTTTTGGCATGTTTCAATAGAATGTGTGGCAAATTATTTTATTTGATAATTAATCCTCATAACTTTTAAAAACCTGCCACCGAACATGAAATACAGGATTACATTAAATGCATAAAATATTAAAATGTGGCACATTGCACATAGTAAAAATATCATTATTTTAGATTTTAAAGGAATTTCATATCAAGCAATTACACTGTTCAATTATAAATAAAGTACATTGTGATGTAACTGATTTTCTCACAATCTTTCAGGTAATAGTTAAGGATGTGTGTATGTGTATATATATACACACACACACATATATATATTTATACAACAAAATAAATAAATACAAGAAAACACGAAGAAAGTTAAGAAAAACAATAAGTTTTTTTTTTAAATCAGTTGTTTTTCTTATTTTTTATTATGATTTCATTATTAGTGTATTTTTATGACTTTGGAGTTAAAAAACTGAAAAATTAAAGGAATAATGTCAGATTCTGAAGAAGAACAGATGGACGCTCCAGCGCGCTTTAGTATTTCTCCGTGTGAGGATAAAAAGAATTTCCCCTCCTGGATTAAGTATTTCAATAAAAAATGTGAAACCCTGCATTTGGAAGAAAATTGGAAAATAAATAACATATCTGAATGCCTGGAGAAAGACTTATTTACGCTCTACATAAATGAATGCATAGAAATTCAGGACCAAACTCGAGGTAAAACTACAAGAAAAACTTTCTCTCTCTAGAGAAGATAAGTTCCTATCTATTTGAACTGTGGGACTCTTCACATAGAATGTTTCTTTACTTGTGTTTTCTCCTCAATATTAAGGATCAAGCATGAGTAAACAGACTTAGAACCCTATTTTTTTCCGTCTAGTAGGGAATATTTAACCCAACTTAGACTATCAATCATTATCAATGGGTAATGCATGTATTTTTATTAATTTGGAATAAAGCATATTATTTTCTACAAAGATTTATTTTGTACTTTGTATGTAAATTTTTATGCTATTGAAATATTTTAAATATTATTTGTAAGAGTAAGCACTTTAAATTAGATTACTTGCATTTCTTGTTAGAAATGTTTTTTTTTTTTGAAGTGTATTTCATATGTTTTAAATAATTCTACACAATATTTGTTAAAATACATAATTATTAATGGAATAATAAGTAAAAACAATTTAAATGATAAGTGAATTTTAAAAACTTCATGAATAGTAACTGTTTCAAGAATGAAACAATGATGATAAAGAACACAAACATTCATTTTCTTCTTCTTCCATGGACGAATAATATAATAAGTTTAGAAAGCTACAGACCTGAACAATGGATCCAGTTTATTTCAAGAGAAGAACTTTTCACAAATTGTGAAATTTTGGTTTGATATTTTTTATTTTATTTTTTATTCTTTTCAACAGGAAAAGAAAATAAGTACATTATCATTATTAATTATTATAAAGTTATTAATTATTATTATTCAAAGTTATGCAGAAATATTTAGTTACTTTTATATCAATGTTATTGTTGTAATACTTTATTTATAAATGTATAATATTGGACAATATACTAAATTTAATTAATTTTAATTTGAAATTGCGAGAACGGGGAAGTTCTGACCAATTGGCTAGCATATTGATCAGACCTTCCTTCAGATGGGTAGCTTGGGAAATTGATCAGTCTCACGTTACTAAAACCTATTAATATTTCAATATACTGTCCAGAAAGATATAAAAACCCTTTTTCCAAGGTCAAATGTGCTCTTCTCTATCTATCCACCAACATGTAAAGTTCTCATTTGTGGGCCACTGGCCCTAACTTTAATAAAATTGTATTATTTCTCCAGGTTCCTGTATATTTTTCTACAAAAACCGGCCACACTAGGAATTTACAATGTTTATGCTTTCAAAGCATAACATATATACTATGTGTATATATATAGATATATATACATACATATATATACATACATATATATGCATATACATACGTACATATATATATACATATACATACGTACATATATATATACATATACATA